ACTTTCCGGCATTACTTTTGTTAAAATGTGTAAAATAATGTCAACACGAAAAAGCGCTCGTGAAGTTATTAGGAGATAGAAGGTCTTTAATCAGCTATAAGAAGTGGTACTTATGTAAAAAATTACGTAGAATCTCATGGTACCAATGGTTTTCGAGTGCGATATCAAATAAGCACTTTCCGGCATTACTTTTGTTAAAATGTGTAAAATAATGTCAACACGAAAAAGCGCTCGTGAAGTTATTAGGAGATAGAAGGTGTTTAATCAGCTATAAGAAGTGGTACTTATGTAAAAAAATACGTAGAATCTCATGGTACCAAAGGTTTTCGAGTGCGATATCAACTAAGTACTTTCCGGCATTACTTTTGTTAAAATGTGTAAAATAATGTCAACACGAAAAAGCGCTCGTGAAATTATTAGAAGATAGAAGGTATTTAATCAGCTACAAGAAGTGGTACTTATGTAAAAAATTACGTAGAATCTCATGGTGGTAACCCTTTTCGAGTGTGATTCAAAATATGTACATTCCAGCATAATTTTTACTAAAATATGAGAACTCAATAATAAAATCTCAAAGTGCCAATGGTCTTCGAGTGCAGTGTCAAATTGGTACTTTCCGGCATTGTCTACGTTATAATATATAAACTTCGCAAATTTAAACTTTATTATTTCTCATTTTAACTTGTAATTTAACATTTCCATTCACTGATATTCGTCTTCTTTTGTTGGCTTCGAGGCTTAGCAGAAAGATGTCTATTAAATCTATAAATACCGCTCAGAAATTGTTATTAATAGTTACATAATAGACGAAAGACCAGATGTCCCGCGTTCTAGCTGTTAACTGAAAATAAGCTGCAGAACTTGCACTCTCCTTGACATCACACGCAAGATGCAATTAACTTCAATTCTGTACATTACATCAGTTTAAACTATCATGTAGAAATACCTACCTTCAAACAAAAATTGTTATCATTTTATTTTCAGATCTTAAATTCTTACAAAATATTGTACACAATAACAATATTTTACTTGGAGACAACAATCAACAACGCCTTTAGTGAAAGATTGCATTCATTTCCTTTAGGATGCGATGTGTATAATAAAAATTTACAGCATTCCGTAAAATGAAACATATTAGAGACAAACGAACATCAAATGCAGTTCATGTGTGACTTAAGTAGATTGAAATGATTTGAATGCGCAGTCGCAATGAACCGAACTTATTAAACAGTCCTCCCGCTTAGATTCACGCTTGCATACGTTTAGTTAATTATGTATTTTAGTTCGTCTATTTTAAGGACCACTTCCCATTGGCAGACAAGCGTTCCCTATCTTCATCTCTTTCTCGCGCTTAAAACTCATCCCAGGGACGTCCGATCTCGGCCGATGTTTCGCCACAATTATTAGTGTCGTGTGCAACATTTTCAACTCTTTCCCTCGCTTTTAGGCGGTGCGGTGTTTGTTTGTTGTTTGTATGCAATTGCGGGTCATTTTTCCCGAAAAGGATTCGATAGCGAAAGCCGGACGTGATTTATTTATCGATCTGTGACGTTTCGTATTGATCGGAGACGTCGCCTTCCTCAAGTTCTTTTAGGACAGTTACACGTGTACAAGTGATTTGAGTGACGCGGAAATCGAGGCGGCCATTTTGCGCACGGAAAGTAGAACAAATAGATAATTATTGTTGAATTAAATTTTGCAAATTAGGTGAATTTGTACGAAAATACTGATTTGAAGCGGGAGGTACCGTAAGTTTGTGGTTTTATCTGAAGTTGAACGGTCAGTTGTAAAGTAGAATCCCCAAAATTTGTTTTTTTTCTTAGGGTTGACGCCGGGTGACGCTTAAAATATTTATTTAAAGTCAATCTAGGGGTGATTCTAATGGCCCTTTCTATTACAGTATGGATACAGAATGTAAATAACGTTTTTAAGTGAAACTGTTTTTTAATTAGTCATTAACCCCTACAGCCATCTTGTTTATCTCTAAATATAAAGTAGGCTTGTTTAGAATGGTTTTGGTATTCTTGTTTTCATTTGAATTGGTTTAGTCATGTACTTAATTGGACCAAATGGTTTACTATTAAGAAAAAAATTAGATNAATTAACAAAACGTTTTAATACATTTCCTAATGTACCTAAAACAGCATTAGAATTTTCTTTAACGAATATTAAGCCACAATGAAGTAAAATTTCTTGTTTTTTTATGAATGAAAATTTTAAGAACCTGTTTGAACTTATCAATTACCAAAAATTCTCACCCTAATCTATTCTTTTTAGTTTAATATTTTTAGCACCATTCTGAGAACATTAAGGCAATTTTATACATCATTCAATTAAGCAACGGTAGGGGGTGGGTATTTCTTGGGTGTAGCTTCGTGTTGACGTCTCAGTCTACGCCTAAGTTCAGTTGGCAACTTTTCGTAGCACTTCTTGCAGACCGGCTTCAAGTCGCACTCGTAGAATTTAGTCTTCTGATTCATCTTCTGGTCACAAATCGAACAAGCAAAGTGGTGTACACACCAAGCCTTATTGAGGGCAGTAAACACTAAACAAAAAATATTATTAGACGTTTAAAATTGATCAAAAATGTCTAAAAGGCTTACCATCTCCAGCAATGACCTGGTTGCAGACAAAGCATAAGTTTCCAAACAGTTGGTGGTAATGTGTTTCACAATAAGCTAAACCTTTCTTCTCGTAATGACGATGACCAAAGAAGGGTTTTTCACATTTTGCACACACAAAATGCTGAAAAAGATGATACCAGATTAAACCCTTAGTTTTTTGCTTCTTAAAAACTTTTAAAAAATCAACTTTTTCAATCAGAGCTGGGCAAAGCTTTACTACTTAAAAGCACTGTACTTCAACCCCTCTGATAAGCAAGTAATTGTTAGAAAACGAATTACTTTATAAAAGTGCTTTGTAATTTGTATTTTAAAGGGATTTAAGCTCTTTGAATGTGCTTGAGGCCCTTTTAGAGCTTTGAATATAATTTCTTCTCAAAGAAATTGGTAATTCAAAGCCCTTGGATTTTAAAATGCAATTGAGACTTCAAAGACCAAAGCACATAAGTAAGGGTTTTGGATTTAGGGCTTTGAGCTTTTTTGATGAGTGCTTTGCCCAGCTGTGTTTCAAATCATTTTCATTTCCTGATTTAAAATTAATTTTTTGGCTTTTCACATTAATTTTTAATGTCAATATCTCAAATATGTAGGTAAAAGTATCAACTTTAATTGTATTCTTATCAGTATTTAAAAACCCTTTTCTACCTCAACATGCCAGTGTTTTCCTAGGGCAGTGACCACTCTTTCTTCAATGGGTCTCCTGCATGCACCACATATAGGAATTCCCATTTTGTCATGACATCTAAGGCAGTACAGTTCGTTCATGTCATTTGCAGCAAAGCCAGGTCTACTCCTCACTTCTCTGGCATTACTATCCAATTCAACCCCACAAGCTGTACAATTAAAATGGTATGGATGATACACTTCTCCTCTGAATTTCAGTGGCTGATCATCAATTATTCCACTAATAAGAAAAAAATACATTGTTAATACAAATCTACTTCAGTTCAAAAAGAATTGGGCACTCACTGGCATTTATGACAAACATATTTCCCCAATCCAACAGCTTTAACTTTAGCATTACATTCATGGCAAAGGGCCCTGCCTGCATTTCGAATAAAACCAGAATCAGCCAATTCTGATGTACACATTTCACACCTGAAGCATTCAGGGTGCCAATTGGCATTCATTGCCTTGATAACTCGTCCAATAACAAATTCTCCACATTTTCCACAACATGGGGCGAAAAGTACATGGAAATCATGCTCACAGTACTTCCTATTTTCAAATTCATAGAATACACCATCTTTAAAAGGCCGAAAGCATTGGGCACACCTAAATAAATGAGAAAAATCATTATTATATGAAACAGCAAAAATATCACTGCAACACAACATACACAAAGCATTGCTGATGCCACAGTTCACCATTGGAATTGACTATCTTTTCATGTGGTTCGAATCCTTCTGAACATCGAGAACAGATCATCTTATCAAAAGACATGGCACCATTTAATCTGTAAGAAATACACTGAATTGTAGAATTGGTAATAAACTAAACACAAGTTGTTTAAACAGACAAAAATAAAATTTTTATACAAGTGAGGGATGTGTAACTGTACAAATGAAATAATTGTTGAATTCTGAGCCCATCCTGTTACCGTTGATTGCTCCATTCTGCCTTCACTTTTACTATGGATGTCTTTCTTTCCAAAGTTTGATTAACAACATCTGGAGTTGGACAGACATACTGATAGTTTGCAACTTCAAATGTTTGATCTGAGAATTCACTCAAATCATCATAATCTCCTATTTCTTCTGTTAAATGTTCCCTTGATTCTGCTCTTCTTTTATACAAAACACTGCATTCTAATGGCTTCAGATCAGGTATATCAGGAGATCGGTCTTGTGGTAATTGGCTTTTAAACATATTTCGAAACATTCTGTTTAGACTTTCAGTAGACTTTTAACAAATATATGAATGCATTCCTAGTGCTGTCTTACTTGGGAAATACTATCTTAGGAAATGTTTTATCTAATTCAAAAGCAGATGTCAACAAATCTAATCTTATCACAGGTAGATTACATTCTATTTATTATAAGCTAGGTATTTTATCAGAGCAATTGCAGATAGCAGGGCAGTTTCGTACCATTCCTTAACAGTATAAAGTAAAAACTTACCCTGTAGGTGTAGGAGACATCTTTTGCAGTAGAATTTGGTAAATATTTACAAAACCAACAAAATTCAATTATCCCAAACAAAAGATAATGATGCTTTCAAGCATGTGAAGTTCTTTGATTTATAAAACCCATGCAAAAGCAAACTAATTAATTAAATTAACAAATAATATATAAAAATTCAACACACCCAATTCTTTTTCGAGGTTACCACTTAACCCCACCACATTCATTAAAAACAAACATGATGTCAGCCAATCATGATTGACGTAACCTTTTACAGAAAGGAAGTAAATTCCTTAAATGTGTTAAGAGCGGTTTTTTTAAATTGACGCTCTTTTTTGTAAATGAAATAGAAAGAAATGATACAAAGGAGGCATTTTAAAGGGTTTATAACGTTTCATTTAATAATTGCAAACCTAGAAACAGTTATACCTTCTTCAAATTGTGTTTACTTTCATTTCAATTCAATTGTGCTCTTTCGTTTTATTCTGTGAATATTAGATGCTAATTATATAAAACATCATTTAAAATTACATATATAAAAGCAAATAACTTCTCAATCAATAGACAATTACATTCAAAACCTGCACATGTTCCTAAAAGCAAATGAATCATTTAAATTGACGCCTAGTTTTCCCTCAAGATGCTCTGTGAATACTGATAGAAATAGAAAATGAGGAAACGAAGTGAAAATCAATACAAAACCAATTTATATGTTGAAAATTTCGGAAGATGTCGCTCTAAAGCACATACTATTTCCATATACAGAGCAAAGTCTAAAAGATTTTGACCTAAGAATTATTAACACAATCTTTTACATGTTTGTACAAAAACTAAACATTAATTGTCAAGCAGTACATAATCGGTAATTAATTACATGTATATCAAAAGAAATAACTGCATTTATTGTTACACCGTCAGTTAAAGTATTTGTTAATGGTGCCTCGTATATCCGGAAGACAGGGGTTGTGCCAGCCACCCTCGCTATAATACAACCCCACCTAAACGAAAATAGCAATCGCGGCGATCGACCACATTTTTCGGAAATGTGATGGCTTGCGAATAATTAAACGAACGAAAATTTGCCACTAATTGTTATTGTTGTGTTTTAAACAGTGTATTAATCATTAGTGAGCACAAAGGATTAAGTTAAACACTAAATTAAGGAACCCCCTTACAAGGGTAAGCAACATTTCAACACACATGTACACACATAACTTAAGTGGAACGTTTTACGAAGAAAATTTTCATTCTGTATCTGATGTGCATTTTCTAAATTATTAAAAATAAATTTAATTTACTGATTAAATAAGGAAAATCAATAAACAGATATTTGNTTTGGGAACTGATAAGCGCGTATAAAACTCTCTTTTTTGTTATTATTTAATTAATTTAAATATGTACAGAACACAGGGGTAGATACGCTCTTTCGACAAACGGAAGTGAAAAAAAGTTAGATCGTTTTCAAGACACGTTAAATACGTACGTAAGATTAATTTCCTCTTGATGCGGCCCTGTATCTAAGATGCCGGCTCTGTCAAAGAGTTTTTAGTAATTAACAATTGCGATCGCGCAACAACTACCGCGGTCGCGAGCCGCGAGTCGCGAGGCGACCGCCACCAGTTGGTGACTCACGGTCGCTTGTAATGGTTGTAGTTGTGTGCAATTTGTTTTGTGCTCGTAATAAAAAGGGTAACGTAAGGATATAACCAGCACTGACTGCATTTAAACTTGCGATAATTCCACGTTTCGCTGGATTATGACCCTGCTAAAGCCTTACGGCGTCCAGGATTTTGATAAAAATGTGTTTTTTCTTGTGCGAAACGAAACGGAAGCAATTTGTTTGTGAAAAGTGTGAACTAATTTAGCGTTTAACAGTTTCACTTAATAGTTGTAAAAGCTGTTGTAGAGTATGTCGTAGACGTTATCCGAAATGCCTTGTCTCATTGATCATGGTGGTAAGTTATTGCTTTTGATTTTGTTTGTCAAAAACAATTATAAAACTTGTACTCATTCGCCAAATTACATACGTATCAGTGCACAAAACAAACACAAACTTTGAGATTATTAGATTCTTTTGAATTATTTGTCATTAATTCTTCAAATAATGTCTTAAATGCTGAAATTCTCTCTCATACTTACGAATTTGTCATGACTATTAAAGAAAATTGTTGCGATAGTTGTGAGAGTTATGAAAACTCAAAGAATTACCCTCCCTCGAATGCATAAATTAACTTTTTAGTAAACAAAATAGTACAAGGTACTTAAAAGAAGTAAAAAATTAGTTTGTCTCTATATTTTAATCCTGGTGTTGGTTTTACTTTCGCAAAACCAAAACCAATATGTACTTTAATTAAAAATGGTACACCAGTTGAATCTTTACGAAAATCTATAACAAATTATTTTTTCCCCATTATAAAATAACTACCCAATTATTGACAGTTAAATATGAAAGCTGTTTTATCCTATCAGTAAATGTATTCAATTCAAACCGTTTTGGCGCACCGAGAATAATAGTTCCAATGCAAATAAAGTACATAACAAGCAACGATTCTTAAAAAGCGAGAATTGCCGATTGTTCTTGTGATGGGTAATTTTTTAAATCCTTGTTGTTAAATTACCCGATAGATTTCGTTAAAATTTATCAAAGATGTTTATCGAAAGTAGCTGTCTAAACTGCGAAGTTTTCGACACTATTTTTCTATGAAAAGGAAGAGCTATGAATTATTTATTCCTTTTCATTATCGTCGAAAGGCATTGTTTATTATTCACTGTCGTCAGTTGGGCACAAACAAATAAATTCGTTTCTTGCTTTAAAAAATGACATCTCTCATTGGATGTCTATTTGGCGACCCAGTAGGTGTGCATGTAGGTAAATACAGCTTTCCTCTAAAATGTCACATGGGTAGATACTATATACTTTGCCAAATCTATTTAAGAAATAACAACTAGGATAGGTAGCAATCAAATCATTGCCAAGTGGGATTTGTGAACAGTGTTCCATCTTAATAAGTGAAATCATTTCAAATCCTTTTTGGTCTTCTGAATGTAAATACGCGGTTACATAATATCCCAAAAATTGTAAATGGATATTTATGGGCAAATTCATATTGAAATCAAACTCATTTAATTTCGAAATTCGATTTACAGCTTAAAGCCCTTTATAGCCTAAACAATTACAATTCTTGCTAGAAGAAGCAACATGCATCATGTATATTCTTTAAAAACCAATTCTTAGGAATTACTTTTTGCATATATGTTCCCTCTGGATTACGCTGATATTCTAATTAAATAATGCATCCCCAATATGCAATTTAGGCATAAAATGCATGTTTAGCAATTATAAATTAATAAATTAGCATCAAATATTAACAGTTGTAGTGATATAATGTATTAATATTTTGTACAAATAGTTATAAAGAACAAAATAACATTTTATTCAAGTATTGCATGATATTGTTCATCATGCTTTCTAAACATTGTAAAACCATGCGGACAGACTATACTTTTTGTCATTTATTTTTAAATCACGTAACAATAGCAAGTGGGAGATTATTTTTGCTTTATTATTATTGTTAAATTGTTGTTCAATTTTAAAAAGGAGAGTCTTTTTAAAAATTGCTCGTATTACACACGAATTCGTATGAATTTTTCTAACTATGAAGGAAATGATATTAAACTATAGAAACTTAATACTGAAGCAACTTTAAAAATGTTTTTGAAGAAATTGTTTTGCAATATCAAAATAGTAGAAGAATACAAGAATATTTGTCTTGTAATTCATTTTAATCAAACCATATTCTCCGATATTATATTGCCTCTTCTACCTAGAACTAAATTAGTCTCTTTACCCTTTACCCTGTTGAATGTAGCAAGGTTCTTGTCCTTTTATATTTCTAGGTACCTACATCTTTGTTTTCTTTTGGTTTTATTACCGTGATAAAAAAAGAATGAAGGCCTCGTTAGTGTGACATATATATGTATTATCTAAAACTGATAACAAAATAAATGTAAATACAAATCATCTTGTAGGCAGTCTTTGCCGGAGCTTTGTAATTTTCTGTATCGTCTGAACAAATATTTTTACCTGCAATATGGGCCTACCTTTGCTGGTTACCAAATATTTTAGATAAGGTATAATACTTTTAGAATGTCTTTGGATCGTTAGTAACAGTCAGGACAGGGATGAACCTACAACAGTTTTGATTGCAACACACAAGATATATTAAAAACCATCAAGTTTCTTAGTCGATAATTCATCAAAACGATTAATGCATTATAAAAATGGTATAATTATCAATAAAATCAGCCATGTAACAATGATTGATTAATGAGGACGTTTCTGTAAAAATCATTATAATAACTTTGCAACAAGAACTGTCTGCAATAACCTGTAAGTGTCTCAAATACGTGAAACATTATTTTTACTGTTTAATTAGGTATAGTTTATGTTGCATTCTTATTATAACGTCCAGATACATATGTATGAGTCCTATTAGTTTATGTCAGTTTGCCCGTCTTGGGGAAAGTCATTTAGAAGAAACTTTAATTAAATCGTTAGTTCCCCTGGCATGAATTAATGCCCAAGAAGCCAAAGTTGGTCCAAAAATATCCTTGAAATGTATAGCCAGTCGGGGTATCGAATGTGCAACGTCTTGATTAGTAAAATTTATTTTAAGGGAAGAGCACACAAATGGTTCTACTTCGATTGGTAGTTAAGTCTGTTTGTTACTATTTTAATTTGTAATTAGGGTCCTTAAGTAACCTGTGTTAAATTCACTTAACCTTGTACTTACTGATTTATTTGAAGTGAACAATGGTAGATAAATATCACCAATTACATTACATTTTTTATTTTAACGACAAAATAACTATTAAAGTTATTGCAGTGGCTTAGATTACCATCCTGCATCAAATTGTTATAATCAAAG